TTGCAATAAGGAAGAACATTATTGGGCCCAAAAAGCAAATGTGAGATGGCTTTCTTGTGGTGATTCCTCTACTAAATTTTTTCACTCTTATGTGAAAGGGAAGAGGAGAAAAGCAAGTATCAGACTCCTTAAAAATCAAGAGGGGAAAGAGATGGAGGATCAAAGTGAAATCTCCAACTTTATTACCAACCACTTTGAGAACACCTATTCTGAAGATTACACTGGAAACATGGACAACATTCTTCCCCACATACCCAATCTTCTTACAGATCAAGACAATGACTCTATGGTGAAACTGCCCCTTGAGGAGGAGATCAAAACAGCAATCTGGCAGCTCAATCCTAATAGCTCAGCAGGACCAGATGGATATAATGGTGAGTTCTTCAGAAAATTTTAGGACACTATTAAGGAGGATATCATCAGTGCTACACAGGAATTTTTCCTTGGAATTCCTATTCCCAAGGCATTTGGTAGTACCTATATTATCCTAATACCTAAGATGGAAGGAGCAAAAGCTATTGGTGACTTTAGACCCATAGCTTTATCCACTTTCTTCAGCAAAATGCTCTCCTGAATACTGGCCAACAGATTAGCCCCTCTTCTTAACAAGCTAATCTCCCCTGAACAAGCTGGGTTCTAGAAAGGGAAAGGAATTGAGGAGCACATTCTTCTAACTAATGAACTCATGCATAAACTTGAATCAAAAGTTAGAGGAGGTAATGTAATGATTAAGCTGGACATGGCCAAGGCCTTTGACAAAATGTCATGGAGCTACATAGGGGCTGTTCTTCAAGGTTTTGGTTTCACAGAAAAGTCCACTTCCCTACTTCTTCAAAACCCGAGGTCTACATACATGTCAGTTCTTGTCAATGGGAAACCATCAGGATTCTTCCAAATCAAGAGAGGAGTCAAACAAGGGGACCCCTTATCCCCTCTCCTCTTCATCTTGATATCTGAGGGTTTTTCCAGGAGCCTAGAACATGCAATTAATATTGGTTACATAGCTCCTTATAAGGCTGGCAGGAGTATGGTTGTTTCTCATTTGGCCTTTGCAGATGACCTGATTGTGTTTCTCAAAGGAGATTTCAGGAACCTACTGAGATTCAAACACATTCTAAATAACTATCTCACAGCCTCAGGATAGGAAGTGAATCAGAGGAAAAGCAGAATCTACTGCAAAAAGAATTTCCATGGGGACTATAGACTCAAAGTGGAAGAGGCTCTTGGCTATAGGATTGACAACCCCCCCTTCAAATATCTAGGTTCTACCATCACAACTGGTAAGTTAAAAAAAATTCATTGTGATCAGATTCTTACTCACTTTGATAATTATCTCAACAGTTGGTATAGCAAAGAACTCAACCCTATGAGTAAACTCATACTCATCAAACATGTCCTTAGTGCCATCCCCTTGCATACTATAGCAGTACAGGACCTACCTAAGTCTATCATCAACTTGATTCACTCTAAATTAGCAAATTTCTTCTGGGGAACTAAAAATGGTAAATACAAGCATCACTGGGCTAAATGGACCACTTTATGCAAACCCACTGGCGAGGGAGGGATAGGTACCAGAAGCTTATTTGACATTCAAAAAGCCTCAGCCCTGAAGCTTTGGCTATTTGGGCCTCCTTTATGAGTGGCAAGTACTATAGGGATGGTCTTTTCGAAGCCAAATTATATGACTCTTCCTCCTGGAAGAGAATTTGCAGAATTTCTCACATAGGTCTCCAGAATACTACCCTGTCCAATCACACCTACAGTTGGATCAATGGAGAATTCACCTTCAAAGAGGCTTACTGGGCAGTAAGGGAAAGAAATATCAGTGAGCAGCTTTTTACCCTTAACTGGAACAAATTCCAGATTCCTAAGGTTAAGCTTTTCACTTGGAAAGCTTTGAACCAATTTCTCCCTTTTCCCAATATTCTCAACAAACTGAATTTTAACCTGCCTAGTAAGTGCTTATTATGTGGCAAGGCTGAAGCTACAGATAAACACAAGCTACTTACATGTGAGATGGCACAAAGCATCTGGAAAGCCTTTGCAGACTACATCGGAGGACCAATTTGGAATCAAGAAACAGAGCTAAGGGATTACCTTGTACAATGGTGGGTTACTTTTAAAAAAACATCTCTCCGTGGTCTACACAAGCTAATCCTTCCTGGATGTATACTATGGATCTTATGGAAGACTTACAATAGATGCATTTATGAGGATCACAAACCAACAAAGGTGGGGATTATCATTGAAATCCAAAAACTAATTCAACACTGGTTTTGGTCAAACAAAAAAGCTCAGGCCATTGCTATTAAGGAAGAGATTGAAGCATTGAACCTCAAACCCTACCTTGCCAGAGAACATTGCAAAGAAAGAAGACACACCTGTTAGTCTCTTCTTCAACTGATCGAACTAGATATGGGGTTAGAAGTTGACGCAGAGGGACAGGAGAATTCCTTCCTCTTTTGTCTCATCTACCTTTACTTCTTATTTTGTTGTTTTTGGCTTTTGCTTTCGGGGCTTCGGTATAGTCCTCCCCGAACTCGTATTCTTTCTTACTTTCGGGGCTCTGGTCTAGTCCTCCCCGAACGTGTACTTACTCGACTTTAATGATATTGGTAAGGGCGGCCTGGACCTTACCCCACTGACTTTGGTGGAGTTTTCGGGCTTATATATATATATATATATATATATATATATATATATATATATATATATATATATATATATATATATATATATATATATAAAGTGCTTTTTGGTGTTCAAAGTGGTGAGCTTTACTTTATTTCTAGGTGAGCTTTCCATTATCTATTGGTGAGCTTTGTAGTGTAGTGTGCTGAGCTTTGCGTCATCTCACCGGAGTCAATGCATATATATATATATATATATATATATATATATATATATATATATATATATATAGACACTCACACACACTCACACGTACACACACACACACACATAACCAAAATTCAATTTGGACCAATTTATATCCGAACATTAACTAAATTGATCCAAATCAAACTATAAATGGAAATTGCATGGAACCGAATTGAAGCCAAATGAATTTTAACTAAACTGAACTCAATTGATTATACACATATCGGAAAGATATTCGAATCACAACTAATCTAATTGATTCAATTGTTAGATCTAAATAGCACTGTAGCACACCTTTTAATACAAGTCTTAGTTAATTGAAGAGAAGAGGGAGTATATGTAAGAGGTGTTGAATTGTGCACACCTCTTAATATAAGTCTTACGAAATATTATATATATTACTCTCTCTCCTATTTTAAATTGCTTCTTTGTCCTTTTTCTCCGTTCTAAAATAAGTTGTCTGTTACTTATTATCGTAAACTTTTATGAGTAAAATACGTAAACTATCCCTAAAATAAGTCGCTATTCTCCACCTTATCTTCTCATTCATTGTCACCCCTCCTAAAAAGTAATGACAATTTCGGAAAATCAACTCTATTTTTTATTTTCCTTAAATATGTTCAAAAGTCAAAACAGACCATTTAAATTGGAACGAAAGGAGTAAGAGGTGTGCTACGATTGTCAGGTTTAAATAGCACTGTAGCACATCTTTTCTCGTAAGTTAATTGAAATCAATCAAAGTCAAATCTAACTTGGGGGTGCGATTGAAGGGGTGGAGGGGGAGGGAGGGGCGTGCTCGAGTCGGGGCGGGCCTGGGGCGGTTAGGAGGGGTAGCAATTCAATGCGACACTTTAACTTCTCATTTGACTCTCTCCATCCTAAAATTAATTTCCCATTTGACTTTTCACGGTATTCAATGCGACACTTTGACCATTAATATCTCAATTTTTATATAAATATATTTTATAAAAATTATATATTTCAAAACTATGTTTCAAAATGAATATATTGCTAATAAATTTATTTGAAAATTCAATGTATTTTTTCCGTAATATATGGTCAAAATTTTAAAAAAATTAACTACAAAAGTCAAACTGGAAAGTTAAGTTTAGGACGAAAAAAGTATATACCTATTTAATTTTTTCTTTAAATTTCAATGTTGGATACTCTTTTTTTTAGCATACAAGTTAGATTGGAGTCTCCCCCTCCCTCTTGATAAAAAAAAATAAAAATAAAAATATTAGTCCACCATGAGTCTCAATTGCTGCCGTTAATCACTTCATCTTCAAATCTTCCCGACTCTTCCCTTTAATTGGAACTCTGTTCTGAGCTCTTTCCAACTCCCAGAATCACTGTAAACTAATAATGATCGAAAATTCAAAATTGTGGAAGACGAACAGGATGCAGATGTCTATGAAAACGGAACAATCAAATCTATTCGGAAAAAAAATAATTCATATTCTTACATCATTTATTATAAAGTTTGAAATTTATCATAAACAAATCTCACAGTAAAAAGCATTAATAGCCAGCTTGATGGCGGATTGACAAGTGAGCCTATGAGCTGTTTGTAATTCGAACTCAGAAACAGTGAAAATCCAAATTAGCATAAATTTTGAATTCTCCGAAACAGAGATTTATAGATCGAGTCTGCGAAGAAGAAGAAGAAGAATGGAGGGCGGCGAGGCGCTGAGAACAACCTGGAGAAGCTTCAAGCGGCGGATGCAATTCGGCGGGATCGCCTGCTGCGGATCCCCGAGGAGCCTGAGAGTTCCGGGCTCGACGATCAGCGATGAAGAGGCCCAATTGAAAGACCCGGCCCAGATCGAGCTGACGGAGGAAGACGACCGGGAGGAGGAGATGCAGCGAGGCCGGTTCAATCTGGCCATGGCCCTCGCCGCCGAGCGCGATTCGCGGAGGGCGGCCGGAGCCGCCCAGATGAAGACGCTCGTGAGGTTATTCGAGGAGGCGGATGGCCGGGAGGGGAACAGCGCGGGCTCCGCCGCGAGGGACAGCGCGGGCTCCGCCGCGAGGGACGGCGGAGGAGGAGGAGGCGTTGGCGGGCCGTGCGGCGTGTGCGGGGAGAGGAATCGGGGCGCGGCTTTGATTCCCTGTGGGCACACCTACTGTAGGGCGTGTTCCCGAGAGTTTTGGTCAAACGGAGGGTCGTGCCCGTCATGCAACCGTCCGATTCGGGACATCCTCCCTATTTTTTGATTTTATTAATGGCCATTTAATTTTTGCATTATTTCTTTTAATTTTTAATTAGAAGAATTAAACCATTTCAATTATGTTGTTCTGACCCGTGGACATTTTCATTGAAGTTTGAGTTATTTACGGAGTAACTAGCATTTCACCCGTGCGTTGCACGGGAATAAATTATTTCTATAATTTGAGATGAATAAAAAATATCTCTTTTTAAAAATGTAAAATAACTAATATCTAAAAATATAATTTTTAATATAACCAATATATGATATTCTAAAAAATACAATTTTTGGATTTTTTTCATTTTTAATCAATAATAGTTCATGATATAAATGGATGTGTGAGAATCATTTAACCGCATAGAAACAATTTTAGTGGGAGAATTCAAAATTTAGTATCGGGCCTAAAAACACTTTAAAACTTGAAAGTAGTAGGGGTGGGTGCCGTCAGTAACGGTTTGTGATACTACTGGAACCTATTACAAATTGTTCTTATTTAAATGGTTCAGTATCGATACAGAATGAACCCCAAAACCATTCAATACCATCCATTTTGAAATAGTACAATACAATATACTACCCATGTTCAAACCGTGTCAAAAAAATGAACCTACATTGCACGAAGAATATTGGAATAAATGGATAAATTTGTATAAAAAAGCACAACTATATTAAATAAAATTATCGATTTCGAGTTTAAAAGAATCATAAACATAAAGAATAAAAGATAATGAGTCAAAATTTTGTAAATAGTTTTTTTTTCAATTCATATAATATCGTACTATTAATAACTATTAAAATGCCAATAGTAGTAATAATATAATAACAACAATAATAATGAAAGAATTTAAAAATGAATAATAAAATATGAAGTACTCTATATATGTTAAGATGAAGTAGACAAATACTCCATATTTTTTGAGATATGTACTCCGTATATAGCTTTGGACGATTTGGTCCGTGATAAATAGTTTTAGATATTTGTATCACGGTCTTGTCCCATTTGATTTCAGTTCGTGATGAAAAATCAATCGCATTTGAAAATACTATAAACGGTTTGCCTTGATCTCGGAAATTGTAGAACTTTCAGTTGCAGCTCAAGAATACAGCCGCTAATCATCAACAACCAGATTTCTTAGAGAACGTCTAGAGCTATGTTTGGATTCTAAAAAAAAATGCTAGGGAAAAAAGAAGAAAGAATTAAAATGCTAAGCAAGGTGTTTCTTTTTTGTTTTGTTCTACTCTAAGAAATGTGTCTCCATGCACGAATTAACATTTCTCTTCTTACTTGAATGAGATGAGATGATCTCTGGTTACTCAGGGTCATGTGATGCATCATAAGCTTCGATTGCAGATAGTTGTGCCTATTTATCTCTCAATAACATGCGTCTTATTGGACAAAAAACTCCAAAATCATTTATCTAATGTAGGTAAACAAAGTTCTCTCCAAAGATTTAATTTAAAGTTATGTTTTTTTCATAGTCAATGCTGAATCTGCAGCATCAATAGGAGATTTATCTTTTATAAGGTTTTAAAACGGTCCAAAAAAAGGTTAAATTGACAGAAGATTTGCCAAAGCAAATACATCATTTATTTCAGTACTCACTCCAAGTTGTATTCCTGCCAGGTTAACACCCACCATAGCCAACTGATTTGCAATTTGGGTTGCTGAAACTACATTTGCTTGGTCAATTTGTGTCTGTAGAATTTTAAAATTGTGCTAGACATTTTAAAAACGGAAGTATTAAATCATTAATACTATTGAGATGCACCATAGGAAAAACTACATCGCTTTTACTTAGAATAAACCTTCACCTTTTCATTTCTCAGCTCATTATTATCTTTGATGAAAGCTGCCTTCCTGTAATTCAAAACATCACTCAACAAAAGAATTAACCATATGTGAGAAATTGCTAATGATATGATGATGATCCATTACATTCTAGAATTGAAAGGATATTTATTATTGATTACCACATTTCATGTAAAGAAGATTTTGTAAAAATCCAAGGAAGCAGACCATTTTTGGCTTTCCTAATTTTTTGTATTTGGATCAACTTGTCTAAAAATTAGAATTCATAGTGTCCCACCCATTCTTTAAAGAATATATTACAGTTGTTGGATGGGAAGTAAAGCTGAGGAGATCAACACCATACTTTTTGCTATTATTGTCTTTAAAACCTTATCTAATTTTGTATATACCTAGACTATATTGGAACTTAAAAAGATGGATGTGGAGAGCATGTTTGTAGGCATCACAGCCCGGACTTATAGGAAGAAAGTCTATCTCGAGGCAGGGGCCAAAACATGTTATGAGAAGCCACTGACAAAAATGAATGTTTGTTTACCTGATGATGAGTTATCTTTTTCTTCTACCCACGCAAGAAAACCACTCATCCTCATCTTAGCCTTTATATCCTTTGATTTCTCTTAAGATTAGCCTCTAACTCCATCTTTCGCTTCCAAAATCTTCACATACTCAACCGCCTTCTTCAGTTATTCCCTCCCCCTCTTCATAGCCATCGCATTACATGTTTTGACCCTCGCCTCAAGAAAGGCTTTCTTCATGTGAATTTGGGTTTTGAATAAATTGGAATTCATATAATTCCACAATAATGAAGACACTTACCTAGAAATTGAACTTAGGGGGCACTTACCTAGGGTTTAAACAACAGGACAATACCAATAAACACCTACTAAAGAAGTTAAATCTTCCAAGTCTTTGAGAATTGATGAATAATTTAACGAACAAATGAAGAAGCTATACAAAGGAAAAAATAAAGGTAACAAAGGAAGAAGTTATACAATGCTCACCCTGCATGACCCGTTAGTGTACCAAGTCCTAGCACTAAACCATAACCCATGGGCCAAGACCATATAGAACCACAAGCGATACCGGTGTGCTGACTCTTGAGCTCTGTATATGCTTATCCTTCATTTTGGTCTTCCGGTATTTAGACTTTGTTAGTCCAGAAAAATAACAGGGATTTGTTTTTTCCGAACAGAAAAAATAGCTTCAAGCATCATCTAATCAACACTTTTCTAAGGAGCAACTTTAGACAAACTTCACCTTTAAGACTGTAGTCTTCATTTTTATATTTTTTGAGTGCTAGCTATTCTATATTCTTTTTGTTCATGGGGATTGTATTATTTTTTTCTCATTTCAACAAAACTCCCTAAAACCTTGCAAATAATAGATTTTAGAGAATTATTTTTATATATTGGGAGCAACTATGGGAGTCACAAATTCCTCCTACTCTAGAAGTTGTTTGAAGAGCATCAATAAAAGGCCTAGATAAGTTATCACCTATAATACTGATTACAACAACCTATGACATTACCCAGAATATTGTTATATATGATGAGTAAGATTAATTGTAAATTGCTAAACTTAAGTATGGTTGTAACTATAATTTGCAAGCTATGATATACTACTGTAAATCAATTTCACCCTATATTATACAGACTTATAAAGTTTTTTTGTGTGTGAAATTCACTATTATGTTTTTTCAACCCTGGAATGTCAAGACATGAATGCCATTAGGATAATTTTACTCAAAAAAAATAATTAATTTGTTTCTTTGATACAAATTCATAGACACATCACAATACCCTGAAAAGAATAATTAGGTTCTCTTAAAGTTATACATTGACACATCACAGTGGCCGTAAAGAGTGAAAACAAATAAGTGCTCCCACACCATCTCATGGAAACAAATTTAGCTTCTACAGTCTTATTGCTATGGAAATAAAAAATCTGCATAAAAAGATATATCCAAAGTATCTTTCTTATCTCAAAACATCAGGCATATTTTCGGCCCAAACATAACTAAAATAACATGAGACATGCTAACACATTTTTCAAATGTAACTGGCCAGGATGAGAAAACAAACCTAAAGTATCTCTCCCAAACCTAAAACTAAGAGAATTTTAAACAGTACTTGTATACATTTATCCTATATTGGATAAACAATTCATCAAACACCATATGTGCATTTAACTAAAAATTTAGGAAACCATATATACCAAATTAAATTAAACTTTGGTTCACCCACACATATAAAAAGGATAATTCTGCTCCCAACTCTATACCCAACAAATCCAGTATATGAAAATGCAGCCCGTTAAACATTTTGAATAAAAAAGAACAAATAGATATTTATGTACTCAATTTTTTTAAATAGAAGATTCACTAATAGTTTTTGAAATTATTGAGTATAACATCATGTACAATTATCAAAAGAAATGCAACAGTAATCTATGTAGGCGTAGATATTCAAATGCAAATGAGCAAAAAAAGGGGAAGTGAGCACCATTGGAGAACCCATCGATCAAAACCGAACATAACAAAAAAAGAAGAAGAGGAATACCTTCTTTTCTCCAAGGAAGTTTTGGATCTCAATTGAGTTTTTTCATTGGTGATGGAGGCGTTTTGGGAAAGTGAGCATAGACGAAGGGCATGTACCGGAAGGCATTTGTGATGTCAGTGATGAACGGGTTCCTGGTTCTTGAAGAATCGCCAGGGATTAGGACTCTGACGGCTAGATTTTGCCAATTGGAAATGAAATTGGACCGTCGGATTGTAGCAATTGCAAATGAAATTGGACCGTCCGATTGGAGCGAAATTGGATGGAAGTTTACTCAATTTTGATTCTACTTTTATATATATAATAGATTGCTTAGATCGTTCCAATTCCCAGCTTTTCAAATATGAAAAAACCGTATATCTATCATCTAGAAAAAGTTTTCCGTCATTCACTCTAAGATTATGAAATGAGAGAGAACTCATATAAGTTTTGAAATTTGAAATAAATTTGTTTAGATAAATTTAAAATTACAATTTAATTAGTGAAAAGCGAGGTGACCGGCGAGGTTGGAAGTGACAATGGTTGTCAGTGACGCAGAATCAGTGGTTGAGAGAGATATCAAATCCCATATTGATATCTCCCAAATTCGGGAGATATCGAAACCCTCGATTTCAAGGATTAATGATACCTGGATATATCGAATTCGATATCTTTTTTTACTTTACCAAACACTCAAATTTTTTTTTTTAAATCTGGAAATATCAAAACTCATATCTTCTTTGCTCAACAAACACACCTTAAACTCTTCAAAAATTGCACGTAATTCTTATTAATTCTAAAAAAATGCACTACTGATTTTTTAATATTTAAAAATATTGCATTAATAATTTTTCTGTGCTAGATTTAAGAGTGCATTAATTACATGCTACTTTATGGCAGGTATGAATTCATTTAAAATCATGTATTATACATAAGTTTTGTAATGTGCTCTTCCCAAACATTATTTAATTTTCTATATATCTTTAACTTTCTTGAAATCCTAGACAGTTATTCTCGTTTAGTCGTCGATAACCAAACTCAAAACTTGGACTTCAGCCAATCAATCTTTTCATGAGAGCATGGCATATTCATCAAATTTTGACAAATATATTGATGAACGTGTGATTAATGCACTGTTAAATCTAGCGTAAAAAATCATAAAAGAAACATACACGTGTACTTTGGAGTTTAGGAGATTTTGACTTTAGATTTTGGAACATTGAATTAAGGATTATACATGTTTCCTATTTGCCTCATATTTGGAGCATAGTATATTATTCCATCGTATTCTTAACCACCTCTATTTTGACAAATCTACAATTAAGGGGCTGTTTGTTTCAGCCTCTTAATGGTTCAGATGTCTGAATGATTCAGCACTTAATGATTCAGACTGTTTGTTTCAGCCTCTTAATGGTTCAGATGTCTGAATGGTTAAGAGATTTGCCTCTGAATGGTTAAGTATTATACAGAGTCTGAATGGTTAAGAGCTATTATCTGAATTGATCAGACATTTGCCTCTGAATAGTTAAGCAATATACTAGCTCTTAATGGTTCAGACCTCTTACTGGTTTAGCACTTACCCATTCAGAAGTTGCCAAACAGCCCCTAAGTGTTAAGTCAAGTCATCAAAAAATCATAATAAGTGAAATTTATACAATTATTATCGAAGAACTAATAAAATTCATATTGAAACACAAATACACCGTAGCACAGAAGATTAGGGTCTGTGTTTGTCTGTGCAAAGTATGAATGCGCTACCATGTGGTGGCACCCTAGCATGACCCTTGGCTATAAGCCAAGCCGTCCATCCTTGCTGAAAGGCTTTGAGCATAACAATTACTACCTCTGTCCCTAAGTATTTGTCTAGTTTTGATTTTTTTTCGTTCAACTGTTTTTAGCAACTGATCTATAATTAAATAAAATATATATTGTATATTAATTAGATAAAATGATATTTTAAAAATATTTGATGTAATAAATCTAATAAAACTATTTTTGTATCAATATCTAGTATCTTTTTTATTTAATTTAAGGTCAAAGTTTACCAATTTTAATCGAATAAAAATCAAAAATGAATGCATACTCAGAGACGGAGGAAGTAGCTTTTTGCAAGTCAAAGGCTTTGAGCAATAGAATACACACATTTCTCTAACCCAAGAACCATATCATGTGCCTTTGAACATTTGTGTTTGTTTACACCGACAAACGCAAGAAGTCTTTGTGACGCACCTTATGGATTCTCTCTTTGTGATAATTTTTGCTTTTGAATTCGAATTAGGTCCCGTTTGATACATAGAATTCAAACTATGGAATTGGAATTGGGGACTTCAATTTCAAATCTGGCATTTGGTAGTACAAAAATTATGTGGATTTGGAATTGATAGTGCAAAAAACGAATTGGAATTGGCAGAATTCAATTCTATGGAATTGAATCCCATGGAATTTCAATTCCAATTCAATTCCAATTCCACCAATTCCGTATACCAAACGGACACTTAGTGTAAAGTAAGATGAAAAATGTTTATAATAGATCTCTAACATCTTAACATAAAAGTACTGGAAACTTGATGCTGAGTAATGACTCAACTTGTGAAATCAATAGGTATTATGGAAATGAGAAACTATGGAACGATATCTTTATATGCATTTGAATATTCTAGAGTACTCGGACAATGGATATAACTTTTTTTTTTCAACCGAGAGAATAGTAAAATGTTTTTTAATTACTCCTCCCGTCCTAAAACATTTTTCCATTTACTATTTACATGGTCAAACTTTAATTACTTTCTTTATCTATTTTTGTTACTTATTTGATAAAATAACATAGTCTTATCACCTCTTGTTTTGTAGAACTTTTGATTTAGTTTTTAAATATACAAAATCGATCAAATCTCATAAATAGAAACGAGAAGAACATTTAGAACGGAGGGACTATTAGTTTATCGAATTAATATATCTGATGGTATATCCTTATACCCGACCCGGATAACCAGAAGGGACAGGTCAATATATGACCGGTCACTTTTATCAATCACCAAATGAGGTTAACTCTTCGATTGGGACGGGTCAAAAGTTGACCGGTCACTTCTTCTAAAAAAGTGACCGATCACATTTTGGGCGATAGCCAAAATGTCGCCTAATGTTACAAAGGACATTCTAGAAGACCAGAGACGGGTTGAGCGCAAAGAATGATCGGGTAACCTTTGAGAGAAGGTGACCGGTCATGTCACTTTACTTTGCAAACATTGGTCCATTATCTCAGGCATGGTGAACCACGTCAAAGATCGAGGGACCACCCCGCCGTTCGTCCATCACGAGGCAAATAGTGAAAGGAATGTTTGTCATTTTGCAGGGCTGATTGGATTGAGAATATCCATTTATAGTCTTTGATTGAACAGTACGTGTCTTGGCTTATAGTTGCTAAATTCATTGATTGAATAATAGATTGATTATGTACAGTAACCTTCCTCCGGGTTTTCTATTTTGTCCATGGATGAACAGGGGAAGGTCACAAATCCTCCTCTATAAATATGATGATATTGGATAGAGGAGGGGATCCAATTTTTCTCTCACTAAAGTTCACTCTTGAGATAGAGCTCATACTTTGTGTTCTTGTTGTGTGTATTTTACTGCGGGTCGAGTGTGTTCAGGTCAAGCCCGATCGACCCACCCAGCTATATTTACACCATCAATATCATATAAATTTAATTTAACTATCGATCAAATGTTGATCTGAATTATCTGCGGAGTAGTATATTCTATTCGTTTTCTTAGTTCATACTTGATGGCGTTTCAGCCTGATTTCCATTTTCGAAAAATATTCTTAGGGCCTGTTTGGGAATAGCGTTAAAGATTAGTGTTAATCTTTTGAAAAGGCTATCTACGGATAGCGTTTAGCGTCAACGTTTTCAAAGTAATCTGCACCATTAAAATTTTATCCAAAACGTCAACGCTAATCTCTAACGTTATTTCTAAACATGCCAATAATCAATAAGAATAACGATTGTTACCCAACAAATATATAGTACCACATAAAAAGAAATTGAAAACTTTAAGGAATTAGATTATTTTTTTTTTGAAAAGAAGGAATTAGATATTTAAAACTATCACAATGTACAAAAAATAATGCTTAGATTGTTCTCGTCTATGGATCTCGAGCAAAAAAGGAGACATGGTTTCCCAGCACAGTCACAATAAAAGCTTGTAATAAGAGCAAGTACTAAGTATGTATTACTGTAAGTGTAAAACAAACACTTCCTCCAAATATACACCTGTAGAAGACATTCCACATATCACCAACTTGTGAAACCTGTACTGTGACTCCAACTCCATGGAAACAGAACAAGACCGCGTTTGGATTTTGATTTCACAAACGTTGTTTTTTCTTCTTCTTCTTCACGTGCCATCCATGCACATATCGCCACCCCCGTCGTGTGGGTTTTGATTCGCGGGGGGAGGGGGGTTCTGGGAGGCAGGGGTACAGCAACCGGCGCCGAAAGTGAACTCTTGAGGAATGTTGTTGAGAAGAGGGGTGGAGAAGAGAGAAGTTGCGCCGGCGGTGTTGAAAGTGGGAGCAGAAGAAGCGATTTCGCTGAGCTTTGGGAAGCCGAAACTGAAAGAAGGCGCCGTGTTAGGAGGGGAGGAGAAGGCTGCTGCCGCCATGGTGGAGGTGGAGGTGACCACGCTGCTCTCTGGTTGTGATCCAAAGACTGTCTGTTCGTAATCCTGCAATTGCTGGTAGATGCCTGCATTTTGGCAACATAGTTCGAAACAAATTCTTGTGTTTTAGTTGTGAATTCATCATTGTCCCAAATTTGTTGATTAATATACATACCAATGGTAAAAACCGTAAAATTCTCCGTACTAAATATGAAGCGTGGAGACCCGCATTTAATAGCAACAACAGCAACAACAAACTCAGTAAAATCCCAAAAAATGAATGAAATGAGACCACCGGTGCTAAAACAGATGCATTAACAAAGTAAACATGATAACACGGACAAAGTAAAGGCACCAAGACATGAAATACACATACAAATACACAAAATTATACTTGATGTGCATCATTTTTTGAGCATGAATGTTTTTTTTTTGGGGGGGGAGGGGTATTTAACAAACTATAATCCTAGAAATTACATGAAAACAGATAAAAGAGACAGACCTTGGGTGAGTTCAACTGATGGTCTTCGCTCTTTCACCCACTGATAGCTTTGTGCAAGTTTCCATCCTTTACTTCTCATCAGGTATGCCATTACAATAGCAGGTGACCTGAAACCAAAGGTAAATTTAAGGCTCCTAAATGAATACTCAATACCGAGTACTAAGCAAAACCATTAACTAGTTCACAAACACATTTTCCATTAATCTATAACACTCCCTCCACCTTTAAATCAACTTAACACTCTGCTTTTTTAGATGGCTAAAAATCGACTTCACTCTTCACCACTTTCCATTTTAGGAAATAAACATTTGGACAACTTCAATTTTCTCTCTTCCAACTAAATTTCAACCACGCACATTTCACTTTTTACCAAACGCCTTTTACTTTTCAACATTTTTCTTGAACTTAATGAAGTCAAACCGTTGAGTTCATTTAAAGACAGGGCTGACAGGAGTATAATCCAATGTCAAACCGTTGAGTTCATTGTCAAGGCTGATTCCAACACTACCAACTCCCACCCTTTAATAATTTATTCTACTAACCCATAAGAAAAGGGGCACACACCAACCCAACCACTAGTTAGAGGGGATAGAAAGAAACATGCATTGTGTAATGGTACTCACCTGCTTTTCCCTGTCATGCAATGTACAAGAACACGTGCTCTATCCCTTTCGCATTCCTCTGTAAATGCACAAAAAAGTTCACATATAACAGACTAACAGTTGAAATTTCCTATATACGGTAGTCTGAATGGAATTCCTTTTTAAAAAACTGGTGTTATGTATAATTTATGGTAACCCAATTGAAGTAACAACAACCAATAACAAAGAAAACGTTAATCCGTATAATCTTTCCTTTCTTATATCATTTCATTACGAGGTATAGTACAAAATCAAATATATAGCATAGAAAACTCCAAGTCTCCCTCAACTCTTAATCATGTTCCTCATATCATATGCATCTATAAAAATCTTAATCAGAGAGAAGTGAAAAAAAGAGAGGATATACTCGTACAATGTATCTTTGTGTAGTCATACAAATGGATTCCTAAGGAGAGAGTATTCATGATTCTAAATGCAACAGAGGTTATCGAAAGAGAGCAGATAATAATTAAAATTCCAGTAATTCTTATTTTCCAAAAACCAGATAATCCATCTTAAAACTGTGCTACCAAAAACCAGTAATAATTATTTTCCAAGAGAACACCAAAATGTACTATCAGATGCATTATTGTGAAAGAAAGAGAGGGAATTGTCACCTAAGAATTCAACTGCATCATCGAACTCTAAATTGTGTTCATCTTGGAGGCAGTGGTATGTGAATGAATTTTTATACAGATTTTGAACAGAGGGGACAGTCTGCAGAAAAAAAAAGTAGACAAATTAGTAAGTTCGACCAATTTTACGTCAGTTCTATTCTAAGTGAAAATTTTGCATTGATCAGAAAAGATAATCAACCAGAGCAGTCATAATATAAATATGTATTAAAGTTCTTATTACCTAATTGGGAGGTTGCTAAAGAAAATATTTTAATTTTCAAAAGAATTCAATCATTGACAGTATTTACAAAACAAAATATGTAACAACATTTCCTAAAATCAAGAAAAAAACAGATGTTAAATTGGTATGTTCTCTTATGATCTAAGCAACCACTTGATTTTATCTTAGACTAACCATTGTAAATGCTCCTAAAGGAGCAGCATGATGCTCAACATACCTGCAAGAGTAAACCAAATGTATTCTACATAGTTCATATAAAATTAGGCTGATCGAAGGAGCAATAAAATGCACAACTATGAATACTCATCTTCACTAGTGTCTTTTCAAATTTCAACTAAATTAGAAACTAAAATTCTTATGTCTATAATTGGGAATGCAATGAAATTTAAGCATGTATTAGATCCATGTGATGCATGCAAATAAATCTAGCACTTCTTAGATCCAGAATTGGGAAAAGAGTGAATGCTTAGAAACAAATTTCAGATCCTTTATATAACAAACTATTTCCCTAATTTTCTCTTGTTTCTACAATTATTTAATGGCCTGTTTGAAAACTTAAATTTGTACCCCGGAGTATTTCGAATTCATATTTGACCCAAATTACATATTTGGATATCCAAACAATTGTGGATTTGTGTTCATCTAATTCCCAACAAAGCTCAATTACAAACTGTATTTTGAAATAAAAAATTCAAATTTTAGAATTGAAATCCAAGAATTGGAGTGAATTCCAAGTATCCACACACTGCCTAAGTTCAAAGCCAATCATATCTGATGGTAAATAGATGGAAAGAGTGGGTATACTAACATTGAGAACTCGAGAAATCCCCTGGGTCTTAAGAAGCTCTGCCCGGGAGGCATTATCGTAGCTACCCAGGAAGAGGAACTCGGGCAGGATCTCGGAAGGAAAGGCGCTGGTGTGGAAGGAGGAAGGCTTCTCGTCGACGCCGGCCATACGGTGGCCGCAGATTGGGCAGACCTCGCCTTCCTCGTACTTGTGGTAGTGGCCGCAGACGCCGCAAGGGTTCTCCCGCTCCCTCTTCCTCATGTTCCGATCCGATTCCCGCGCGCCGGAGGAGGAGGAATGGGCGGATGCGGGGCGAAGGGAGGCGCGATCTGGGAGGAAGGGGATCGAGGAGGGGTTATTATTGTAGGGTAAATAATTGGTCGTATCCCCTTGTAGTATATGTAACAGAGTAACGGTGCCTTACATAGGACTGACTGACTCACAGAGCGACCGACCTTACACGCACAGTATTGTTTTGACCTCTGAAATCATCATCATCATAATATAGGGTTTCCAACTTCCAACTATATTGGGACGACGATGATGATGACGATGAATTGATGATGATGATGATGATGATGATGGAGTTAATTAATTACGGAGTACTATAAAGAAGAAGAAGAAGGAAGGAAGATCTAGGGCCTTCCTTCCGTCCGTATAAGTTCTCCAATCCTAAGGGGTACCCTACAGGGATTAGGATTCTAGACCCCACAACACATGCTTTTGCCAGTGGGAAGTGGGAATGTTTTACTCCTTCCTTCCACGGTCCACAACGGTAAAGAAACTCTTTCTTCTAGTTTTTTTTTTCAATGTCTTTGGATTTTTCTATTCACAATATTTCTATTTGTTTTTAAATAAATATAGAAAATGAATACTTTCTCCGTCCCAAAATATTTGTCCACTTTTATTTTTACACACCATTCAATACATTTCTTTAATCATTTTATCTTGTAATTTGTATATTAAAAAATTATAGAAATTATATATTAATAATCTATATGTTAAGACAAATCAAACAGGATCACACATGACTATATTTAGGCTTACAAATTAAGAGAATTTGATGGGTCAAAGTGCTTAGATAAACCGTTCCAAAAGTCAAAAGTGGACGAATATAGCAGGAAGGAGGGAGTATAGGATAGCTTAAAATTTTTTTTCACAATAGATTTGTTGATATTAGATTTAAATCATAGTTCAATGTTTTTTTTGTAATTTACTGAGCAAGTTTAAAAATGTTAATTACAAAGTCCAAATTAAAAAAAGATATAAGACAAAGAAAGTATAGTACATTCCTTCCAGTCTTCCACCCCACACCAATTTGACTCTCCAAAAATGTCATTCAATTTTGAGGGAAGGTTTCGGGTTTGAGAGAAGCTTTCGAGTAGGAATCACTTTCGAATTAAACGGATTATAATAAGAGGCTCAGATAGATCAACCCGCCCGCAACTCAAACACTATTGTAGTCTGTTTCGTTACCTAGACCTATTTTTTCTATCAACTCGCCCAAATTTGTTAGACCCGAGTTAAAAGCCAAATTAAAAAAGGTTTAGTTTAAAAAGTAAGTGGAGGCATTGATCGACGATTAAACCTACAACCTATGAAATCACAATACAAGGTTGCAAGTCGGTGGGCGTTGCCCAGTTGGCAAGAACAAAGAGTAACAATAGGGTAATATCCAAGTTCGATTCATGCTAACTGCGCTGAAGGAGTCTGATGGAGCCCTTGGGATAAGAATCATCCTTGTTTTCAATACAAGGTTTCAATGCAAAATTCCATTCATATGAGCTAGTACACCACTTATTTAAAAAAGCATGCAAAATGTTATACTACCTACGTCTCAGAGTATTTGTCCACTTTCATTTTTACACAACATCAAATACACTTCTTTAATCCATTTTATTTTGTAATTTGTATATTAAAAATTATATTCCATCCGTCCCAATTTAAATCGCCTGTTTTGGCTTTTGGACATATTTAAAGAAAATAAAAAATAGAGTTGATTTTTCAAAATTGTTATTACTTTTTAGGAGGTGTGAAGATGAATGAGAAGATAAGATGAAGAGGAGTGACTTATTTTAGGAATAGTTTAGGTACTTTATTTTTTAAAGTTTATGAAAACAACTAACAGACAACTTATTTTGGGACGGAGAAAAAATGCAAATAGGCAATTTAAAATGGGACATAGGGAGTAGAAATTATATATTAATAATCTATATGTTAAGACAAATCAAACAAAATCACACATGACTATATTTAGGCTTATATATTGAGAGAATTTGATGAATCAAAGTGTTTAGATGAACATTTCCAAAAGTCAAAACTGGACGAATACTCCGGGACGGAGGGAGTATATAATTATATACGATGTTAATATTTGAAAAACTTCAAATAAAGAAACTTTTTGTAAAGTATTTATTTTATTAACTTTAAACTTAGTTAAAAGAAAAAAGAACTGTTTATTTTTAATCAAAAATAAATTCAAATAATTTTATCGAAAAAATTATTTTCAAGATAAAAAAGATATATTGTTTGATTTCTTGGATAACTATGTTTAGGAAAAGCGTAAACTTCAAAGAAATTCTCTCCTTCCACAATCAAATTTACATAATTTTTGTATGTTTAGGTTATTGACTCTAGATATTACGGAGTACATTGTAATATGTTCAAATTTTTTTAACTTAATAACGCACCATGAGTCAATGTCTTTGCGAGATCGAACCTTGGTGAGTTTCCTCCTTAATATTGAGGAATGAATTTTCTACAACCCAAGTCAAGTGAGAAACTCCTTTTTAGTGCATCCTTAATAAAAATTATAATTTTCCATTTTCTATTTTCAGAAATGAAAATATGACTAATAATTTGTTTATTTTTTAAAAAATTTCCATTTATGCCCATTTACTTGACACCAGACACAATTTTTATATTTTACTTAAATTTCACAAAAATATATTATAAAATTTATTTTTGAAAAATTGAATTACCATTAAACCTTTTATGTTCAATATTAATTACTATCTCCGTCACACTTATTTACCATTTTATTATTCTGTATTGTCAGTGAGTTTTGTATATTTATATATTTTCATTGATTATTTTATAAAATAAAATATTTAATTCACTTCTTGTTCTATAATGCAATTTTTTTCAATATGTAATTTATATCTTTTTATTTTGAGTAATGCTAAGGGTCGACTGAATGACATACCTCATTTGTACATCACCATTTATCACCATACACCTTTTCCACTCATTAAATTTTTGTATCAACATTTCAATTGTGTCATAAAGACGTTTTTAGGTAGATCTGATCACGGATTCACATATCCTGGCCATCCGCAAAATAGCGGGCTTGAACTTGACATTTCAGGATATAAGACGGGCTTGGGTCTTATAAATGATGACCCGAATAGTTTAATGTCAACGGAACCCACCCCTTAAAGTATAAAATAAATCCATGCCCTTATACTCTATTCATCCCACTACTTTTGAGACATGAAAACAGTAAGACAAACAAAGAATAAAAATAGATAAAAATCGTAAAACGAGGTGAGTAATAATTTTTTTACTCCCAAAAAGTGTCTAATATTAGGGGTGAACATGGTACGGTATGGTACGGTATTTAGCCCGTATCGATACCGTACCAAATATTTCGGTTCGGTATGAGATTTTACTCCGTACCGATCCCGATCTCGAAATATCGGTTCGGTATGATTCGGGATGGTTCGGTTTCAATTTCGGTACAAATCGGGAAGAAGATACATACATACTTTACATGTTAAAATTTAACAATACCTTTTTTTTTAAAATTAAAAGTGAATTTAAATAAAAACATGAAAAATTTAAAAAAATGAATATTTAAATGCAAGAGATTCGTACCAAAAACGTAGTTTATATTTCAGAAACTAAAAAATGAATGACAACAAAGGAGTATTTTGAATCTTTATGAATACTTGTATGCTCATACACAATAATTAAAACTCAAATAAAAGTATAATTTACACATAATAAGACTTGAATCAATTTTTTTAAAAAAATTTATAATTTAGTGAAGGAATATATAAAAATATTACTCCGGGGTATTATTTTTATACTCCGTAATATTTTAGTATATATGTTCGGTACGGGATTTTCAGTATGGGACGTCACCTTGTACCGTTCCCGAATACCGTACCGACCATTTGGTTCGGTAGGGTTCGATTTCTTCTCGGTACTTTTTCGATTTGGTATTTATCGGTTCGGTTTTTTCGAGAAATTTCGGTATCGGTTCAGTACTTGCTCACCCCTATCTAATATGGACCTAAGATAAGATTCAGGTTAAAATTTATCTTTGAGTGGCTTTTGGGTTGGGCCATGACCTTTTTTTTTGGCCCCTTTAACAATACCCCAAGAGGACTTCATTTTCGATCTCCAACTCACAAACGCTCTATTAAGCCTAAAACATATTCTTATTATCACAAAAAGTAAAAAAAGGTTGTTGTTCTTGTCATTTCATTATTGCTGAGGGTAAATACTTAAGAGGCAATTTTGAGTAATAAACCATATTGTTATCCTCACAACTCACAAGGTCATTTTACTTGTAAATAAATATAAAATCGAGCATCGAGATTCCCTTAACAAGTGTAAAAAGATGGTTCAAAAAAATGTTCATAGTATGGATAGGCATTGTTGGATGAGCTATAATCACAACTAAAATGGTTTGAGCTAAAATGCCGCGTCTTTTCCCATGTTAAAGGCTTAATAAGACCGGAATTGAACACAAGATCTCTCGGTATGGTCATGTCACCTGTTCGCTCAAAATCAGCTCGGGGAGGGAGAGTTACAATTCATCCTTGGCTGGTGTTTCGTCTGCCATAAGCTCGTCAAGGGAGAATTCATCTTCTTCCATGATTTCCCCATCTTTGCCATCCCAAGGTTCGGTCTTTACTATGTTGGGAGTTTCTGTCAGCGGCAGATTTCCTTTGCCCCCTAGACTAGCTTCGAGCACAAATCCTCTGCATTTGGGCAAACATTAGCAGTCACAGGCCATATATTTTCTCCATATAAAAGTGAAGATCCCTTTGGAAGGAAATCTTTTTCAAGGGGAAATTAACTGGTTCAGAATCAAGTGATTAATTATAGATGTGTTAAAACTTCAAACCCTTTTTTATTACATTTGTTCCTAACATATAAAAGCTGAGAAATATGTGTAACAATCGAAAGTGTTAACCAAATTCGTGTTCCATTTGTAGTTCCAATTACTTTGCGCAAACACTTACTTGATTGGATCATGCTGAAATGCGCTCTTCAGAGGTGCATAGGCTTTGCGGGTCAAGGCTACCATTGCGGGATATCCGTACCCACCGACGCCAACCTGCTTCTCCAGATCGGGTTGTTTACCAGCAGCAGCCCAGACAAAGCTGTAAACAGTTGCAAATTTTATTGAGGAGATGTGTTTTGAACTATTTATAAGTATACGGGTTATGAGGGTTTTTGGGCTTGCCTGTACGGTTTTCCCTTGAATTTCTCAGCAACAG